GTCTCTGTTGCTTGTGTATATTCACCTTCTTCACTCTGCCTGGCCCTGAAGCAGATGATGAGTAGACCAGACAGGCCTTGGTGGAGTGCTAGAACCCAGGAAAATCTAACTATCTCTTAAAACTTTAACTACCCCTTTTCTATTAACTTATGTGCTTCCATGTGTCTTGTTGCTTTTACCTCTCCTCCTGCTTGTCCTGATTCCTCTCTGTATCCTCTGGCCTTGACTCAGCTCCTCTTCTTTTCTCTTTGCCCAGAAGTCCTGCCTACTACTGGCCATTCAGCTCCTTATTATTAAACCAATCAGAAGGTGCCTTGGCAAAGACACAATGCACAAAAGATTACTCCACAACACACTTATTCTCCACTGGGATGTGTATCATGTGACTGCAGTGTTCACTGAGGAACAGTTATTTGTGGAATCAATGAAGGGTATATAAAAAGCATATCACAAGGATTAAGCCACTGGGCTTTATTGCTTTCCAATGCTAAATACAATCTCAATTCCCAATCTCTAGCCCATGTCTAGAAATCAAAACACTAAGCATATTAAGCAGAGTAGCCACTCACTAAAATTTAAACTATTTCTCTCATGGTTCTCATCTGGGAAAAGGCTGATGTTAGCAAACCTAGGGAGTTCTTACCCTCTATGGGAAAACTGTGGACCAGTTCTCTCATTGAGCAAAATTATCGAGCATGTCTTCTAGGTAGTAAAAATTGCTGGCTGCTTCTCAATCGGTGAGCCTCTTCTCTCCCGGGGGCAAAACTGTTGCCTGCAAATCTCCAAAGCAAAGTTGCCATCTGCCTTACTCCATATGGAAAATGCTGGTTGTGTCCTCACTATGGGGAAATTGTCAACCTTGTCTCCTAACGGAAGAGCCTGCCAGCTGTGCTTCTCCATAGAAGAGACATCAGCAGAAGTGAGCAATGTAAAACCCATGCATGAGTGTGAGTCTACTTTTTCCTTATCACAAGCAAACCTTCACATCCCTCTCATCTGTCAAGATCATCAAAGCCAAGGTGATGGTGGCATTGAAATGAGACATTTAAACCAAAGGGGTAGATGTGAAATGATAGTCTAGAGATGACCTATTCCAGAGATGATGCTGAATTGACTCTGTGGGTTGTACTTTTATAATTATATGAATGCCTATATGTAACAATGATAAAGAAAAAGAGAGGAAAAATTGTAGTTTGGAAGCAGACCACGTTCAGATTTTGGCTCTGTTCCTTTCAGCCATGAGGACACCTGTATTGACTGATTAATTCATGGGAAAGAGGCTAAAAGACTCACAAATGTTGGATGAATTCATACCGTGCAGTACATGGAAGCTCAAGAGGTAGTTTTTAAGAGTGAGCTAATTCATACCAACCTGAACTCCAATTCAGTGTCCCATGATAGGAGTGGGAAGGGGAGGAGAGTCTGAGCCATACATTAAGTACATCTAGGACTTGAACACTGTGTGTGGGTCAGCCTAAGTATGGGGACAGAGCAAGTAAAAAAGTACACAGTGGACAGTGGACAGTAGGCAGGAGTGGGGTCCTGGGCACCTTGCTCAATCTTGCTGGTCTGTTCCCTGTTCCATAATGAAAATAGTGGTAGTTGCCAGATCATACATTTGAGCATTAGATGGGATAATAGATACATAGGCACAAAGGTACATAGATACATACATAGGAACATAGATCTTGAGTAAAAAATGGTACTTTGTGTTATATTGACATCTATAAAACACATACACGTGCCCTGATGGTGAGTCTGCCATATCCCCATTGAGCAGGTCTAGGCTACCATGATTCCCACCACGACCATTTCCTTATAGTTATCAAAGCTTGTCTTATCTCCCATGTTTCCTTCTTTTCTCCTTCATGTCTTTTTCCTGAAATCTGTCTGGAAGCCCTGAAATTCAGCAGATTTCTAATGCCAAGCAAGGGAATTATCACATTATCTCTAGGGCAGTATCACAGCAAGCAGAGTGTGAGACAGGTCCCATGTCAATCCCTTTAAAGCACAGTAATCCACTAGTTTTGGGGGTTTTGTTTTGTTTTTCTGTTCCCACAGAGCAAACGCTGTTGTCAACTTCTTTATATTCTACAGACACCCGCCCTACATAGAACTCTAAATTCACTGTTAGCTCTCTGGCTGACCCAAACTTTAGGGTCTGTTCAGAAGCCTTTGCTGTATTCATCATGTCTTGCTTTTGTTTTGCTTTTGTTCTACAGTTTTTGAAGAGCCGGAAGATCCAAGCAACAGATCGTTTTTCTCCGAAATTATCTCTTCAATTTCGGATGTGAAGTTCAGCCACAGTGGGAGGTATATCATGACCAGAGACTATCTGACCGTGAAAGTCTGGGATCTCAACATGGAAAATCTCCAAATCGAGACTTACCAGGTACAGAACACCCCCTTTGTGGGCTTCTACATCAGCCTCTGCCTGCCTGCAAATGTTTATAGTGCAGAGAGATAGAAGGCTGTTCATAGTGATGTGTTACATAAACTACTACAGGCTGCAAGTGCCATGAGATTTAAGATAAGGATGCATTTGGACTAGTAACATTTATAGCCTGAAAATGTTAAGTGAGATGGGTACCATACCTAGAGTGAGTAAGACAGGCATGGCCTTGCTCTCATGAAGCTCTCTAGTGAAGAAACTGGCTGATTAACAAGAGGACTCATTGCATTTGTGCAAGGGACGGAGCTGAGACCCAAGGCATGGAAACCTTGTAGGGTAAGAAAGACAAAGATGAAGCTGTCATGAGCTAGTTAGCAAAGGCATACACTTAGAAAACTACCATGGCCAAAGACCTGGAGTAACGAGAACTGTGGTTGAGAAAGTTTTCCTTGATTATGGAACAGGCAGGCAGAAAGTTGAGCCTGAAGACAAAAGTGGGGTCTGATCTTACAAATTCTGGTACTGAGAGCTTCTTTGTTTGTCTCTTGCTATAAAAGGGTTTTCTGAAAGGAAATGGCATTGAAAACAATGGGTTTCACCTTATAGTATGACAAGGAGGCTGCAGAAAAGGAGATGGTGCTGATGTGGACTGAATGATGTCAGGATGATGCAAGGACAGGGAGGATGGAGAGGCAGTGACATCTGCTTGCTGATAGAATGGGTGAAAAGTCACGGACTCTGTATAAGAAGTTCTTGCATTTAGCACTGGGTAGAAGTTGGCAGAAACACTGATGGCTGGATCAAAGGCAAAGGCATTGCTTCAGGGTGTTTTTATTAAAAGAGCTTAAACAGACTTGGTGGTAGAAAGGATTTGAAAAAGCCAGGCAAGGGACAAGGAGAAGATGAATCAAGGGACAGAAATAGCTGCTCTTATTTTTATATATCTTTAATTAGATAAAAAAAGAAATGAGGAAAGGAAAGGGGAATCCAGGCAGACAGATTTGATTTATATTGTTTTACTTGAGATACAATTCATCTATCATAGGATTCACTCATTTCAGAATATATAACTCCCTGGGTTTTAGTATATTCACAGAGTTGTAGAGCCATCACCAAGTCCAGATTTGTCACTATGATTTTGAAACCTCATTCTAGTTGCACAGGGGAGGAAACACTGTAGCAGAGATAAGTGAATAGACAGAAAGAATGAATTTTAAATTTTTTACAATGTATCTTGGGGTTTCTATTACTGTGATGAAACACCATGTCCAAAAAGCAAGTTGGAGAGCAAGGGGTTTGGCTTATACTTCTATATTGCTGTTCATTATTGAAGAAAGTCAGGGCAGGAACTCAGACCAGGCAGGATCCTGGAGGCAGGAGCTGATGCTGAGGCCATGGAGGGGTGCTGCCTACTGGCTTGCTCCCTGTTGCTTGCTGAGCCTGCTTTCTTATAGAACCCGGGACCACCAGCCCAGGGACAGCCTCACCCACAATGCTCTGAGTCCTCCACCAATGATCACTAATTGAGAAAATGCCATACTGCTGGATCTCATGGAGGCATTTCCTCAATTGAGGCTCCTTCCTCTCTGATGACTCTAGCTTGTGTCAAGTTGACACAAAAACTGCCAGTATACAATCTTTGGCAATAGCAGCTCAAATGAGAGTATCAGCAACAGAGGTCCCCAGATTCATGATGTAGTTTCCAAGGTAAAATCGTTAGAATCTGATGTCTGTTGTAAGAAGGGAAATGCTGGGAGATACCCGTCTTTAACCATTAGAGAGGTGAAGTTGCCTTTTGATTTAGATTAAGAGATTGACAGTTTTGTTTTGAACATGTTAAGCTAATGAGACACAAACAGATGAGAGGCAAATAGTCCAATGCAAGTACATAGCAGATCTTCAAAGCACTTGGGTCAGTAGCCTTGAAGAATCAAGATACTCTAAACTAAAAATAAAGGAAGTAGTAATAAAAGTAGACTTGCACATTAGATACTGTTGTAGAATTGTGACAGTAGGGGCAGGGATGAAAATCATTGAATATGATGGACCCAGTAGTTAATAAAAGGGTATTTGAGTCACCAAAAATTATGGCAGAAGGAATGGAAGAAAGAGGGAGGTACTCTAGTTGCTTCAAGGAATGACTCAGTGCTTTTGATGATGTGAGGCCAGTGGATAGCAAGAAGTTGAGTTTGAATGTGTGACATCAAAGGAACTGAGAATAAGACAGGAACAGTCATCATGAGCAACAGGACACCCCATTTTAGCACATGGACTTAAGAGCAAAACTCCACATCATCCCCTGAAGTTCTGAATGGAGTAACAGGGTCTTCAGAGACAAGAGCAGGAAGGAAAGGGTAGCACATAGAACACCTTCCTGGACCAAAGACACTAGGATGTAAGAGGGAACGCTCTAGGTAGGCTGGACTACTCCATGTTCAAAGCTGTGTAGGTGTTGTCTTCAGCAATAGGGCCTTGCCATCAATTGGTGGATACCAACCTATAGCCTTGGCAATTGCCTGGGTTGTTTATGGGACTCCTTTGGCCAACAACCCAATTAGATGTGACCTATCCCTGGTATCGAAAGCTTCATTTGGTGATAAGGGATGTCCAGTTGGGGCTCTGTCTCCATTATTTGATGATTTCATTTAGATCACTTTCATATATGTATATATTTTAGGAAGCTTCTTCTGTATTAGGTTCCCATACTACCATTCAAATGGCCCTTAATTTTAGCTCTCTTACCTCATATTCCCTCCCTTATTTCTGTCTTCCCTTCCCTACTTGGTCCTTCCATTCCAGTCACACCATGCAACCACCCATAACTATCTCTTCTATTTCCCTTTCCTAGGAATATCTATCTGTACACCCTAGTCCCTTACTCTATTCCTAACCTCTGGTTCTACAGACTGTAGCTTGCTTATCACTGACTTAACTGCTAATATCCACGAATACATACTATATTTGTTTTTCTGAGCCTGGGTTACCTTAATCAGGAATTTTTTTTCTAGTTCCATCCATTTACCAACAAATTTCATGATTTCACTGTTTTAACTACTGAGTAATACTCCATTGTGTAAATGTCCCATATTTTCTTCATTCATTATTCTGTTGAGAGATACGTAGGTTGTTTCCAGTGTCTGGCTATTATGAATAGAGCAGCAACGAACATGGTTGAGAAGGTGGTAGGATGAAGCATCCTTTGAGTATATGCCTAAGAGTAGTATAGCTGGATCTTGGTCAATTCTGATCTTCCTGAAGAACCTCAACACTGATTTCCACAGTGGTTGTACAAGTTCTCAGTCCCACCAGCAATGGAGGAGTGTCCCCTTACCGCACTTGCTCAACAGCACAAGTTGTCATTTGTTTAACTGATCTTAGCCATTCTGACAGATGTAAATGGAATCTCAAAGTGGTTTAGATTTGCATATCCCTGATGACTAAAGATGTTGAACATATCTTTGTTTCTCATACATTTGCATTTCCTCTTTTGAGAAAGATCTGTACCCCATTTTTTAATTAGGCTCTCTCTTAATATCAAGTTTAAGATCTATATATTTTTGGATATTAGCTCTCAGTCACAAGTGTAGTTAGGAAAAATATTTTCCCATTTTGTAGGCTGCTGCTTTGTCCTAATGCTGGTGTCCTTTGCCATGAAGAAGCTTCCTGTTCCATGATGCCCCACCTATTAATTCTTACATCCTCTACTAGCAATGTTCTGCTCAGAAAGTCTTTTCCTGTACTAATGAGTTCAAGGCTATTTTCCACTTCCTCTTCTATCAGGTTCAGTGAATCTGGTTTTATGTTGAGGTCTTTGATCCATTTTGAAGTTGAGTTTTATGCACAGTGATCTTTGATCCATTTTGGTGTTGAGTTTTTTGCACAGTGATAAATATGAATCTATTTGGATTCTTCTACATAAGTCTAGTGTGATCAGCTCAATTGTTTGAAGATGCTGTCTTTTTCCAGTGTGTATTTCAGGTTTCTTTATATAGAAAAAAAAACAAAAATCAGGTAACCATGGGTGTATAGATTTATGTCTGGGTCTTCAATTCAATTCCATTGATGAACATGACTGATTTTGTGCCAAATAATGCTGTTTTTATTACTATAGCTCTGTAGTACATCTTGAAGTTGGGGATGGTGACATCTTCAGCAGTTCTTTTATGATTCACAGTTGTTTTAGTTATCCTGGATTTTTTGTGTTTCCATATGAAGCTGGGAATTGTCCTTTCAAGATCTGTAAAGAATTGTGTTGGAAATTTGATGGTGATTGCATTGGGGCTATATACTCCTTTTAGTAGGATGACCATTTTTACTATGGTAATCCTACCAAGCCGTGAGCATGGGAGATGGTTCCACCTTCTGCTATCTTCAATTCCTTTTTTCAGTGTCTTGAGTCTTTGATTTGCTTGGTTAGAGTTACCCCAAAATATTCTATATTTTTGAGGTTATTGTGAAAGTTGTTGTTTCTTTTTCAATCCACTTTGCTGTGAAGGCTACTGATTTTGTGAGTTAAGTTTGTATCCTACTACTTTGCTGAAAGAATTAATCCACAATAGGAGTTCCATGGTGGAAATTTTAGGGCCACTTATGTATACTATCATATCATCTGCAAATAAAGATACTTTGACTTCTCTTCCCATTTATAATCCCTTGATTGCGTTCAGTAGCAGTATTGTTCTAGCTAAGACTTCAAGTGCTATATTGAGTAGGTATGGAGAGAGAGAACTACTTTGTTTTGTTCCTGATTCTGGTGGAAATTGTTATGTGTCTCTATTTGATTTGATGCTGACTATGCAAACTGCCTTTATTATGTTGAGAAATGTCCCTTGTATCCCTAATCTCTCCACAGCTTTTATCCTGAAGGGGTGTTGAGTTCTGCCAATGGCCTTTTCTACATCTAATGAGATGATCATGTGGCTTTTCCCTTTCAGTTTGTTTATAGGGTGGATTACATTTACTAATTTTCCTGTTAAGCCATCCCTGAATCTCTAGGATGA